CGGCCACTCACATCGATGTCCTTCTGCTTCTGCCGATGGTCCTCGATGAGGTTGCCGGCGATGATGTTGAGCTTCTCGCAGTCGCCCTGCACCTGCAGGATGGAGCTCTGGACGTGGCCCAGCAGCTCCTCGTCCTGCAGCAGGAGGGACAAAGGCAGGATCCCTGAGGCTGCTGGGGCATCACTGCTGCCCCTGATAAGCTTCAGTCTCCTGCCTCCCCGTGGACCAGCCTCGAGGGCTGCCAGTGGGGCAATCAGGAGAGGTGATCGAGGCTCGGGAGTGGTGTGCTGCCCTGTGGGCCCCTAGAGTCAGCTTGTGGGCTACAGTCTCCCCACCTGTCCTGGGCTGAATCAGAATTCCAGTATCTAAGAGGCAGGACCCAGGGCCTTGTGGCTGTGGCCACCCTACCAGCAAGCCTGCCCTTTGGAGGGGAACTGGGAAAGCGTCTGAAGGACGCGTGAAGGAGAGTCGATGATTCCTGAAGCTAGGCCAGCACCCCCAAGGCACGTGAATGGCACTGCTGCACCCCCAGCCAGCTGTGCTTCCCCAGCCGTGCCCCCCACCCCCAGCTACTTGCTGGAACCCTGTGGAAGGACCGGGAACTTTTGTGGGCTCCACCATGGAAAAGCAACCCCTGCGGACTCTATCAGGGAGGGCGGCCGGCAGGAGTCACCTGGCTCTGGAGCTTGGCTTTCTTGGAGGGCCGGGAGGCCACCAGGCTGTTGACCATGTTCTGCAGCTGCTCGTAACGCTGCACCAGCGTGCTGACCTGGTGGCTTAAGTCCAGACTGCAGGCTGGACAAGTGGCTTCAGGGTCGATCTGGCCAGGTGACAAGGCCACCGGGGCCTTCTGCGGGGTCATGCTCATGGACAGCAGCGTGGATGAGGAGGCCAGCATGTTCTCGATGATCGTCCTGAGCTTGTCTAACTGGGAGCAGGCGAGAAGGCCGGTGCAGGGCCGTGAGCAAGACTCGGCCACGCGCCATCCACACCGTCGGCACAGGCCTGCGCTTCCTGCCCATCGCCAGCCCTGTCTCGGCAGTCACAGCACCCTCAGTGCCTCGCAGAGTGTGTGGCACATGGGAGGTGCTCGGCATCTGTCCATTAAACAGCGGCCAGGGTTCGCAGAAAGGGTGGCATTCATGCTGAGTGAAGCCCTCGCAGGAGAAAGGTTTCCAGACCTTTCCCAGGGTCCCTATTTGTCTCTACAGATGATTGGTCCCAGTTCGAGGGAAACCAGTCCCTATACTGGCCAAAGACCTGTGCCATGTTGCCTGGCTCAGAGAGAGAGGCTCGTCCAACCTAAGCCCCTTCTCATGGAAGTGGGTGACACTGCAGGGCCTGGGCAGCTACTTTGGACCATGAGTGAGAGACACGAAAGCTGTCAGAGTAGAATGGAAGAGAGATGTGACGCTATTTGAGAGAGGTGGACAAGGAAAGAGACATGGGGGCATGGGTACACCCCAGAACAGACACAGAAAGACAGACAGACAGGAAGTGGCTTGGCTGGGACTGCCCCTCGCTCCAGCTCCCTGCATGTGTACACACAGCCAAGCAAGCTCCCTCTTGCCTGAGCTCGGTGCGACGCTCTTGCTCGCAACCAGAAGAGCCTACACTCTTCTGAAGGGTCCAGAAGAGCCTGTCAGAGGCCCTGGCCAGTGTAGCTCAGCTGGATGAGCCTCACCCCGTGCACCGAGAGGTCACCGGTTCGATTCCCGGTCAGAGCACATGCCTGGGGTTGCGGGCTCGATTCCCAGTAGGGGGTGTGCAGGAGGCAGCCGATCCATGGTTCTCTCTCATGGATGTTTCCCCCTCTCCCTCTTCCTCTCTCTCTGAAAAATCAATACAAAAAATTTTTTTTAAAGAAGGTGGGTTCATTCCCTCTGGAAGACAGGAAGACACTCCCCAAACTGCAGGCATTTCAGGGGGATCGGGAAGAGTAAGCAGCAGCCCTGGGGGTTGAGGAGAGAGCAGGAGAGCAGCAGTGTGTTCAGGAAAGCTAGGAGCCCTGGCAGCTGGAGAACTGGGGTGTGGAAGGTGGTACCTTGAAGATGCTGCCCAGGAGGCCAGGCTACCCGGGGGGGGATACTCCCAAAGGTGGCCCTGGGACTGACCTGGAGGCTGCTAAGCTCAGACACGGGCTTTGGAATGACAGGTGACTCACACACACGACAACCGGCTCTGGGTCATGAAGTGGTCACACCACTGTCCCAGCAAACTTGGGAGTGGCCCGCAATGGGCCTGTAGCATCGAGGGGCCCCTGACATGAGCCCCCTGGGCTCAGTGGGTTTTCCTATCTGATCCTGGGAGCACTCAGAGGGCTGGTTCCAGTCCAGCAGCTCCTCATTGGGAACATTCTGGGGTGGCCAAGGAGAGTTTCACCCAAGCTTTAAAAGCAGACACTATTGCCCGGCCGGGCATGGCTCGGCGGTTGAGCATCGACCTAGGATCCAGGCAATCGGGGTTCGATTCCCGGTCAGGGCACATGCCCGGGTTGTGGGCTCAATCAATGACTCTCTCATCACTGATGTTTCTCCCTCTCCTTTCCTCTCTCTGAAATCAATAAAGATAAATATTTTTTTAAAAATAAATAAACAAATAAATAAAAGCAGACACTATCAAGAGAGTGAAAGGACAACCCACAGAATGGGAGAAAATATTTGCAAATCACATATCAAGAATCTAGTATCCAGAATATATAGAGAACTCTCACACCTCAACAACAACAGAAAAGACAACCTGATTTTCAAATGGACAAAGGATCCGAATAGGCATCTTTCCAGGGAGGACATTCAAATGGCCAATAATCATATGAAAAGATGCTCAACATCATTAGCCATTAGGGAAATGCAAGCCAAAACCACAACGAGATCCCGCCTCATGCCCACTGGGACGGCTACCACTTAATAACTAACGAAATAAAAGGGGAACGGGTGCCGGTGAGGGTGTGGAGAAACCGCGCGCTGGTGCCGTCGCTCAAAGCGCCGGCCATCGAGTTTCCACATAACCCAGCAGGTCCACTTGTAGGCACGTGACCAAGAGAAATGAAAACATATGTCCACACAAAAACTTGGGCACGAATGTTCATAGCATCAATGTTCATTAGAGCCGAAAGGCAGAAACAACCCAGATGCCCTTCAGCTGACGAATGGATAAAAAAAGTGTGCTATAGCCATGAAGTGGAATATTACGCAGCCATAACCATGAACGGAATCCATGCCGCGATATGAATGGGCCTGGAAAACATCGTGCCAAAGCGAAAGACGCCAGAGCTGAGGGGCCGCGCAGTGCATGACCCCATTTATGCGAAATGTCCAGATTGGGGGGATCCCTGGAGCCGGAGAGCAGTGACCGGCTGCCAGGGGCTGGGGGCAGGGACAGGGAGGGACGGCTCCCGGGGCCAGGGTCTCTTTCTGGGGTGATGGAACTTTGGAATTTGATTATGACGATGGCTGCACAACTTTGTAAATGTACTAAGAACTGCCCTGTTCACTTTAAAAGGGTGAGTTTCATGATATGTAAATTATCTGATTTCATTTATTTTTCTTTTAAAAAAAATATTTTTTAAATATGTCTTTATTGATTTCAGAGAGTGGAAGGGAGAGGGGGAGAGAGAGAGGAATATCAATGATGAGAGTCATTGATCAGCTGCCTCCTGCACACCCCCAACTGGGGATCCAGCCCACAACCCGGGCATGTGCCCTGACTGGGAACTGAACCTCAATCTCCTGGATCCTAGGTTGATGCTCAACCACTGAGCCACACTGGCCAGGGCAAAAAATATTTTTATTGATTGGAGAGAGAGAGGAAAGAAGAGGGAGAGAGAGGAACATATATGTGAGAGAGAAACATGGATTGGTTGCCTTCTGTATGTGCCCCAGCCAGGGACTGAACCCACAGCCCTGGTATGTGCCCTGACTGGGAACTGAACCGGCAACCTTTTGGTGCACAACCAACTGAGCCACTCTGGCTGGGCTTAAATTATCTAATTTTAAAAGATAGGGGGAGGGAAAAAGACTTAATGGCAGGTGGACGGGCCTTTCCCCTTGTGCACCTGCAGCCTCACAGCTGGTTCTGGATCGGGAGAGGGATCCCTTGAGGTATAGTTCCCCCAACACACACACACACACACACACACGGGGAGGAACCTGGGCTGCCCCCACTTGGCCAGCCAACTCTGAGAAGGACCCTGTGCTTCGAATGTGGAGGCCTCACCTGGTCCTGCAGGTAAAGGGAGGCTTCGGAGACCGAGTGCTCCATGCTGACCTTGCCCCGTTCTTGGCTCTCCCTCAGCTCAGCCAGCTCCTTCTCGATGTCGGCCACAGAGACTCTGTGAGCATAAGAGACAGCCTGGCCCCC